GGTGGGGGGGAGGGAGGAGGGGAGGATCTAATGATTTAATTACAGTGCTTAAAGCCCACTCTGGCTAAGTGATGGTCCTCTCTGTCTCTTTCTCCCGTTCTCTTCCCTCCTCAGCGTTGGCACCTAAAGGGCTTTACTCATGAATCTCAAAGCTGTTTTCCTAAACACATATTATGACGAGCACCGCCGCCGCCACCACCGCTGCTGCTGCTGATGCTGATGTGTGTGTGTGTGTGTGAGAAACACAGAGAGAGAGAGAGAGAGAGAGAGAGAGGATGCTTAATCTCCATGGCATTTTAAATGGCATTCATGGAGAGCGACTCTATCCTCATTGCCAAGGTAAATGGAGCCAGGGGACTCTCCATTTCAGCTCGATAAAAGAGCAATGTTAAAGACCCTCACCATTTCTCCCTCTCCCTCTCTCTCTCCCTCTCTCTCTCTCTCCCTCTCTCTCTCCCTCCCTCTGTCTCGTTTCTCACTTAAAATTAATGTTTTTCTCATGACAGGGAAGGGAAACGAGACATATCCACCATCTAATAGGATAATATAGCCCCATTCACCACCACCACCACCACCACCCCTCCCTCTTCTCTCCCTCCCTCTTCTCTCCCTCTCTCTCTCTCTGCCTTTGTAGCTGCCTGATTTCCATAGTGTCTCTGTGGAGAGGCAGTTAATGAATTCCTCTGAGCTGGAGAAAGGGGGAGAATGGTTTGGCGGTTTAGAGAGAGAAAGAGGCAGGGATAGGGGGAGGAAGGCTTTGAGCTATGCCATTCAACTTCACAGCCTCGGCCTGCTTGTGCATTCACCATGTGTGTGTGTGTGTGTGTGCGTTGTGTGTGTGTGTGTGTGTGTGTCTTTTAACATGAACCTGCTAAGACTACCAAATATTTAGACTGGCCTCAGACCTCTTTTTATGGCGACGGTGGATTGAGGGATCTCAGGAGGCAGCTTGACTCTATTTGAATCCCATTCCCTGCTATTAGCTCGGCCCAGACAAAGGAATAACTTACCGCAGGAAACATTCAAATAAAGTCCCACAATCCACTTGCACTGGCCATTTCCTCTTGGGTAATTTGCAGTGAGGTAAATGAAGTAACAAAAATCATCATGAGGCCGATTTTTTTTCTTTGTTTGCTAACTCTTCACGAAAGGAGGGATGATAGCAGTAATGCAATTAAATAATTGCCATTCAGTTGCAATATCTCAGTTATTCACTATGTAAGAACTTGAATTTGCTGAGTGTTAAACCTAAATCATCTATAGATTAATGCCCTCTAGCAGTGTTGGGCAGTATTATTTATGATCACTTTTTCTTTAACGACTAGTAAACTGGATTACAATTTGCAAATTAGTAATTCAATTATAGTCACTAATCCCTGTAACGATCCGTTACATTGAGAGTTTGTTGGGTCGGCTTGTTCGCTTGTTTTACCAGAAGTTTGTTATCAGTTTCGTCTAAGTGTGTTCACTGGACAGACTGCCGAGATTCGCGTTAGCTTAGTACAGGAGCTGAAGGGTCGGCAAAAACAAAACGGGAGGAATGAAACTCCGGATAACTCCAAAGTTGTCTTTGGCTGTGTCCAAATTACTCCGTTTATTCTAGGGCACTACGTTTACTCTCCGCCATTTTTTAAAGAGTAAATCTACTTTCTGCTAACAATCTCACAATGCAATGGGTTGCATTTTTTAGACAGGAAAATCCCTCTTCACCTGTAAATGAACACAAAAAAAACACTTGTACAGGTCCAAAATGTGAATATACGGCTCATGGGAAACACTAGCGTGGCCACAAATATTACGGTAAATGGTGTTAGCATGTTATCAATCTAACTTACTGGTACACTAATTACACTATTTGAGCTTTAACATTAGGACATCTATTGTGGCTCATCAAAACTAAATTGCTAATGTCTGCAGGAACACTGTGCTGTGTGAACAGTGCCCTTCATGGTTGTATTATAACAACTGCTGTATCCCAAGATGGCGCCTATTCAGACCAATGACAATTGCTCGCCCACTGCATACACCAAAAAAAAGTTTTCTTCCCGGGTATGCGGCCCACTGAACATACGCAGTGGTGTCTCTCACGCTGGCACCGCCTGCCAGTCCCCGCTCGGCCTGCCGACTTTACATCGTGCTGACGTCATCGACTTTTGGCTTGAGGAAAGTTTTACAAATATAAATCCATAATAATAATAGAACGAGTCATAATTGGCCTTGTTTGCAGTTGGAGGTGTCTTGTCAGTAGTTTTACAGACGTTTCTTTTACAATGGTGGTCTATAGGGTTTAGTTTACATCCATGGTGCCTTCTGATAACAAGGATATAGTTATATTAATGACATGCTGTTACCATCAGAATATTTCAGCAGGATATATGGTAAACATGGAAAGAGGAGTGATCTCAACCACAGCTTTATTTACATGATGTGTCTCTTTAGCTTTCTTGCTAACATTAGCCACAGCTAAGTCCGGTTCAGCACAGAGTTGGAGGACAGCTTCATTCTGACGACGGCCAGGGCAAACGTCACGCTAGCTGTTGATGGTCAGTAAATACCGTCAATGCTTTCTGTTTCTACATGTGTTTGATTGAGCGTTCATGTGGATTAACTTTTGCTGGTAAGTAATTAGGAAAGTATCAATTCATTTTTGAATGAGTGATATGTTATCGATTGCATTTTTCAAGTACCTGCTCCGTGGTCACGTAAACTCTTCATGAACTCAATGATAAATCTTGACAATAAGGGGAAAATACTCTGTTGTTTCTACTGTTGTTTTCCCAAAACAAATGTTAATTTCCTGAAAAACAAAGCAGATGAAGTCAGGCCCCTCCACCAAAGTCGTGAAAATGTCACTTGATAAGAGCTGACACGTTTTGCAAAGAGCCAAAACGCTCTCACTTAATTGTCACTTTCCTTCCGCTGTTGTTTCATTTTGCTAAATAAATTATCTTCTGCGCGCTTTGTGCTCAGTTTCCAGGGTATCAGAGATTGCGGAGAGAGCAGCGGCAGGGAAGGAAGGGCAAGCGGCAGAGATAAAAACAACAACAACCTATCATCACCTCCTTGACAGCAAAGATAAGCAGTGATAGATTCGGCTCTGACCTGATGTTAAAACAGATGGATCGCTCTGACGCTTAACAGATAAGCCTGCCGGCCTGAGGTGACACATCCAGCCACCCAACGTTTTTATGGTCCCTCACACTGAGCTCGTACTTGCTTTATCACTCCCTAACCCTTTTTCAATCACTATGATATCTGACATACAGCACGGGAGATGTCATTCGTAGTCTTAATGGCTTATATCACCAATTATAATCGGTGGCGGTGTGACCTGACAGCCACTCGCATGGAGATGGATCCTGTAGGTTGACCCAGAGGGGAAACACTAGACAAAGAGCCTATCATTAGCAATTAACGGGCGTGCCAGTGTTTGTTTGTTAGTAGCTGCTTTAGAAGTCCAGCGGGACTCATTTACAGTGGATGGGGTGTTGATAAAAAACCTGACCTCACTTTGACTTGCTCAAAATGGTCGCCCGCTTGTTAATCTCGACCACGGTGTCTTTTTTTTGTTGTTTTCATTTGCCGACCACGGCTGAAAGCTGCCGTTATATACAGTTCCATCATTCCCCGTAGAGAGAGTGAAGAAAACAAGCGATGTTAAACAAGATTGCTGACTAAAAAAAAAAAAAAAAAAAGGTGAATTCCCACCTCCTC